ATAGAAAGAGTTATTGAGATTAAAGGAGAAGAGAGGCTTTGGCTTACATTTATAGTTTGTGAACAATCGATTAGGAAACCAAGAGAGGAGAAGACAGGTTTGGGTGTGAGCTAACGGCTAACTCGGATTAGGAAACCAATTGAACAGTGTTGCCTATGGGAAAATTACACTTTGACCCCTTGACGATTTCATATTTTTCATATTATACTCTGAGCTATGTGATTAGTTTTAAATTGCTCTAATTATTAAAATCCATTACATATCTAATGAAAATTTATTTAATCTTACCCCCGAAATTATTTACTTTTTCCACTTTGTCTTGACACATCAGTAACTTTTGAATGATCATATTATGCTTAAGATGAAAGATAAAAAAATATTATTATTTTTTAAAATTCCAATATAATATATTAATACACGTCTATAATTACATTGATACAATATTATTTCTAATGCCAAAAAATAAATATATATACATACATATATATATATATGTATGTATATAATTTTTCTCTTCATTTACAATCAAAAAGAATTAGTAAAAAACTATTGAGTCACAAAAAAAAAACAAAAAAGACAAAAAAAAAATCAACAAAAGAAAAATCTATAACTTTTACTAATCGGTAGTTCGAATAAAAAATACAAAAAATGAGTTCAATTGATGTTTATAATTATAAAGATAATACTAACAATTTAAGTATAATAAATATAAGATAATATATAATTTGCTATATTATTAGTTTTTTTATGTGTTTTATCAAATATTTTAATAAAAAAATTCACGTGTAACGCACATGATGTATTACTAGTATATATAAAAAGAGGTCTGCCCAACAAGCTCGTCCCGCGAATGACAGACTAGGTTGGGGGCAGTCTATTCCTACCCAAAGCTCAAACAGCTATGTAAAACCTAGAAATTTAAAATATTTGATAAAAAAGGGTAATACGATAATTAAGCACTTTAAGCATAGGTTAAAACTTGAATTTTATGTAATTCAAATGACGAAACAGACATTACTTTTGAATTGGCCTCACAAAATTAAGTTGGACAATCAATTTTCGTTGAATTCCTAGACGGTTAGAATTTTCACACATTACAAGGTAAATCGGAAATACAAGATTAAAATTCAAAGCAATTGAGATTTAGTCACGAGATTTTTTTTGTTTGTCTGGTAGGAAATACAATAAATTTATAACATAATAGCATCTCTAACCATGATTTAAATTTACGATCAAATTTGAATAAAAAGTTTGATTTGACAGTACTCTAATAGATAAACTCAAATATTTTAAAAAAATTTCTTATTGTTCAAAAACTTATTTTTTTGTGTCATTCAAATAATGATATTTGATAAAATAAATCAAACTTTCGTATCCCTTCGCAAATGGATAATTAAAAAAAAAAATTAAATATGAATACAATACCACCTGGAAATAAAAAAAATAAAATAAAACTACCCCAAAATTCTCTAATATCTTATCTTTTTTGGATAGAATACACCGATAGTCCCCAAAATATGCGTGTGGTAAAATACAACGTTATTGTTTCATTTATATATCTATATAATAAAATAGAGCTATTTTTTAAATTTCAAAGATTAAAAACAGCTTAGATCATTTCGTGATAAAAATAAGACATCATCCGAGTTATCTCAACTTTTCTCAAAATTGTTTCATTTCAGCAGACTGTAGAGCAATGAATCTAGCTTAAGCAAAAAGGGTATAAAAATTACCAAAAACTGTACCTTACTTAAAAAGGACCTGTTATACAGGTAGGGCTCCTACCTCTCTATCATCCATGACTTCTGAGATAGGAACCTAAGAAGTTGCAAGGTATAACTTACGAATGAAAAGCATTAATTTGATTGTGGTAGTCCCCACTCTGGACGAACCTGGAGGTGGTGAAATCTATTCTTTTTGACAAAAGAAAATTTATAAAATAAAAATTGTGAAGGCAAAATACCATCATTGTCGCTTCTCAAAAGACAACTACAAAAGTGTGAGTTCATTACAAAGCATTATTTCCCAAGTTCCCGCTTGTCAATAACATTGCCGTTACATAAATCATGCTTTATTGAACACTTATTGAGCCTTCTTTCTAGCATCTGAGAAAGACAACGTCAAGAAAGCAAAAGAAGGAAATACATGAGGAAAAAAAAAAAAAAGAAGAGCATGGTGTAGAACACAACCAACAAATCAAACTTATAGGCGAGATTTTGCTTGCCCCACTGGAGAACTCTGCAATGAACGCGTACCGACATTATTAGAAACGCAATATTAGCAGGCAAAGCAGGCACGCGGAGGAAGTATAAGTTACAATCAACAAAAAAATCAAATATTTACTCATAGGCCAGAGCCTTCTGCAGGCAGGCTGCAGGCTCCATGTATTAACATAATGGTCAGCCATTTTTACACAATTTGGCCAGTTACCAAAACCATCATGGCTCAACATGTGATGTACTCCAATCTAGCGATGAATTGCAGACATGCAAGTATGATTCAACTGAACATTACAAAATTGATTTCATTCCAAGAAGTTCTAATTTTTGGTAGATCAAATTTGTAAAGCAAAAACATGGAGATGGTTAGAATCTCTAGAATAATTGAATCATATTATCATTTCTTGAAAGGTTGATCTCGTGGACAAGACCCAATAGATGGTGGGCGCCCGATCCAAATAGCATGAAAGTTATTTAGACTGGCTGAGTACATGTGACCACATGTTTGCACCAGACCGAAGCTTTTACATGACTATTAAACACAAAAATTTGCAACTGGAAATTTGTACGGGAAGACTCCCCAATCAAAAACAGACAAAGGTGGATCTATCGGATAAGATAATGTCCAATGCTCATGAATAACTATGACCCTGTTTTAAATGCTCAGATTTATTGTCATGAATTATTAATCATATCACCCACAGGAGTCAGCTTGAGAATACTTACTAGAGGAATCCCTTTGGCGCCTCTTTCAGCCAAATAGGAACAAGGCTTGAAAAATCCTCCATACATATTTGACCACTCATTCAATCTTGAGTAAATATAATTCGACCCAACAGAATCTGCCCAGAACATAATTCCTCCCCTGTTCAAAGCAGTTCAAAATATATTACTATGAGAATATTATGATATTTGGAGGAAAATGCCTTCAACCACGTGTAACCACAGACCTGTAAGGCGGGAACCCCATGCCCATCACAGCAGAAATGTCCAGATCAGCTGCTTTAACTGAAATACCTTCAGCAAGTACTCGGCAGGCCTCATTAACCACAGGGAAGAATACCATCTCGACAATATCCTTCTCCGACAATTTTGTCAACTGAGTCCAAGTTCAATCCCACAGTTTAGAGAAAGAGGGAGGGAGAGTAAGTTGGATGTGAATTTTATTGCTCATGACGTTAATGTAGGGTATAGATGTAATTATGAGGTAGCGGGATTATATAACACTTACTTTGCATCTCTTTCCAAAGTAAAACAGTGCAACCTCAAATGGTAGAGAGAGAAAGAGAAGACCAACCTTTGGGTCAATGGTAACACCAGAAATCGCCCTTGCCTTCTCAATATATTTCTTAATCTCCGGATCTGAGCGTGCCTTGCGATTATCATCATAGATATAGAACCCTTTGCGAGTAGTTTCACCTAAGCCAACACGTTGTTTGTTTAATAAATGCTTTAACATTTAACCGAAATTTAGACAAACAAAGTAAGAGGTTTATCAACAGCAGATTGGAATACCTGATCTCTTATCCTCCTGCATGGTTGGAATTAGCATCGATTTATAAGTTCTTTCAGGGAAATTCATAACAAACTGTCCCCCCGTAGCAATTGCAACACCGAAACCAACAAGGTCACACAATCTGCATGTAAATAGGGAAAAGGAAATTATATGAAGCCAGTTCAGTAGCCACAACGGGGTCAAATACTGAAAATGATGTTGAAACACATTGAGTACCTGAATGGGCCCATTGGCATTCCAAATTTGGTAATTGCCTTGTCAATCTGATACACATCTGTACCACGTTCTACAAGCAAAATAGCAGCTTGAGTATATGGGAAGAACATCCGGTTGACAGCAAAGCCAGTGCAATTCCCAACAACAACTGGGGTTTTCCTGATTTTCTTCCCAACATCCAGCAAGTCAACAATTACTTGGGCAGATGTCTTTTGTGTACGTACAATTTCCAAAAGAGGCATGACATGAGCTGGACTGCATCATAACCAGAACCAAGTTTTTAACAGAGCAAAAGCAACACAAGGAAAAATAATGATTACTATGCAACAGAATACCTGAAAAAATGGGCACCAATAATACGGTCATGAGACCCGGTCCTCTCACCAATTAGGTCTAAGTCGATAGTGGAAGTGTTACTCGCAAGTATGCAATGTGGAGGGCAGTATTTTTCAAGATCAGCAAAAATTTGTTGCTTTAAAGAGACATTCTCAATGACAGCCTGTTGAAAACATCAGGAACAACAAGATTTCAGATGGAAAAAAAGAGAAAAGAAATTACTACATGTTGAGATATATTAGATGTGTTTCTGTAATACCTCTATGACCATGTCCACATTTCTAAAGCTTTCATAGTCGAGAACACCTTTGAGAAGAGAAAAGGTTTTCTCAAATTTATCCCTAGTCATTTGTCCTTTCCTGACGCGGCTTTGCAAATTGGCTGAGCAAAAGGAACATCAGTAAGCAACCATTTCATAAGATACTCAAGTAGTAGACATAATCAGAACATCAATCTGACCCCACCTCTGACTCTACCAATCCCAGCCTGTAGGAACTTCTCATTTACTTCTTTCAATATCACAGGATAATCACTGAGAATCAGTGCTGTTGCTATCCCAGATCCCATTAATCCTCCACCAAGAATCGCAACCTTATTTATTCGTCTTGGTACCAAACCTAGATCGGTAATGCCAGGAACCTACTTGCAGTGTTAAGACAAAAAGTGTTAACTGATTTAACCAACAAAGCTGCCGTAATTTAAACCATAAAGCTAAAATTCTAGTTGTAAAATCCCCGACTCTCTATAATAATTCCATAAGATTGATCTTCTTACTCGAGTTGAGTGCTTCATATAAAATCATCACTACAATCACACAAAATAGATGTTTGACTAGAACTGACTTTGATTTACTGATATTAATCAACCCAAATGGTTTAAAAACTCCCGCAAGTGAAATCCAAAATCTAAGTTCGAAACTATGTTCGACTAAGTTGATGTTTTTACATTAATTAATAAGAGTCAAGTACGGAAAAGGATATTGATTCTTGAAGTGTTAAACTTCCTAAAATATCAGGACACATTCACAAATTATTTTAAAATCCTTGATTCCAGATCTTACGTCAGTGGACAAAAATATTGCCAGTGTCTTTTCCTACTTAAGTTGAAAATTAGGTACATTTAACATACTAACTTTTAGAAAAGACTAAAATATATTCAACCTTTGTGGTTCCACGTTGGGAAAAGAAGATGTGGATCAGGCTCTTGGAAGTATCTGAATGTAGAAGATCTTGGAACACTTCAGCTTCCTGTCAATGTTAGACATGCAGTTATATGGTTACGTTTCAGCCGTTATTTAAGTAGAAGCAAATGAGAAGTGGAGTTGGGTAAAAACCTTCCAAAGCCCAGCACGGGGGCCAGAAACTATGCCCTCTTCAATGGCATCGATACAAGAGAGTGGATGTTTCAGATTGGGAGCACGTTTTTGGGACTGAGTTCTAGCAAACTTTAGGATTTCCCGTGCCTCTCCAAGAGGCTCTAACTTATCAGCCTTGTAAAGACTAGCAACCCATGGTCTTCGGCGCTCCAGTATATCCAAGGCCCAACAACGAGCACTGTTTACTAATTCATCTTTTGGTACTATGGCATCCACAAGGCCCACACTAAGAGCTTCCTCTCCTTTAATCGGCTTTGACATCTACCACACAAAGAGAGAGAGAGAGAGAGAGTGGTTTATGATCACAGATTAAACTTTTACGGCCACTAGGCTAACTTTGCTTAATAATATGATAAAAATAAGAGAAACCAAGCCTTTAAGTACCAGCATCATCTCAAGGGCCTTAGAGAGGCCAACAAGGCGTGGAAGACGCTGCGTTCCTGAGACAATACAAGACTATGAGTTTGACAATAGTAGGAAGATACAAAACTCTAGTTTCTCTTGACCTTTATAGACAGCACATGAATAGTGTAAACATGTAATGTGATCTCACCATGCTCCATTTGAAGTCTCTGTTCCAATACATAGGCAAATATTCAGGTGATTCTATTACTTATCTTCCACTGCAATCTTGTTGATTATTGCATTACTAAAACATAGTCATACCTCCAAATCCAGGGATTATACCAAGCTGCAGTTCAGGCAAGCCCAGTTGTGCATTAGGAGTAGATATACGAGCATGGCAGGCCTGAAAAGCAAGAGTAGTAATTTACGAAATTCAAGTGGAAAGTTTTTAATGCAAACAAATTTTGGAACATACCATAGCAACCTCCAATCCTCCGCCTAAGGCAAGGCCATCAATAGCAGCGACGGAGGGTTTTGTTGCACCTGAATGCAAAGACGCAATACAAACAATTTAAACAAACCTGGTGCAGGGGTGTAATATCTTTTAAAGCATGAATGTGCAAGACAAGACCCAAATCTTTACCTTCCAGAGTGTCAGAGAGAATATCCACCGATACATAACCAGGCTTTTGTGCTGGTGCTGTTGCTGTGATTAGATACAATACAAATTTTAGCATAGAAGTGGGAGTGTGCAAGGCTAAAATATAAGACGCATAGAACATCAGACATACTGTTTCCGGCTTGGAGTCCACCAAAAGCAGTGATATCAAAACCACCAGAAAACTTGGCTTTTGCACCTGCTCCAGTGAATACAATATCAGCTTCATACCTCAGTCACTTCCAATGCTAAACAAAAAGTTACAAAACTATAATTTCTTCTTCAAAGTTACCTGTAACAACAATTGCATTAACATCCTCCCTCCGTAAAGCTTGCCCATAACTGTCTTTCAAGCTGTTTAATACTGAAAAGCAGAAAAGAAAGGAAAATCAAACTTCAAGGTATACTATCATTTCAAAACATATATCCCTTTATATTTAAGAAACGAAAAAAGGCGCCCAGTGCACACGCCACTGCAGCACAAGAAAGCCTTGGCATTGTCTTCGCCAGTGCCTTCCGGCAGAGACAGTTTTGATGCACATAATTCATATAGTGTATAATAACCGAGAAGCATGGGAAAAGTATAACTTCATCTGTCACTAAATATTCATTTTTTTTTCATAATTTACTGCATATTGAAATAATTAAAAGTTCAATTTCTATCTTCGTGTGCTTTTCCATGTTTGTGTATANGCAAAAGTATAACTTCATCTGTCACTAAATATTCATTTTTTTTCATAATTTACTGCATACTGAAATAATTAAAAGTTCAATTTCTATCTTCGTGTGCTTTTCCATGTTTGTGTATATAAAAATATTTCTAAAGACAAAACAACCAAGATTAGAAACAGAGCCAAAAGTCCAAAATTATTAATTGCAAAGTCAGAGCAATGATCCGCAAGTTAACAATTGCTTGAAGAGTGGTATCACCCATTGACTCTTCTTTGTGTGACGTACGTGAGCCTCTCAATTAAATAACTAATCACAGGATTTGTAAATATCAAACAAAATTAGAGTTCATGGCTTCACAGATGAAAATTTGATTTTGGTTTGATTTCAAACATTCCAAAACTTTGGCCTGAATTTAACAAATCATCTTGAAACACCTTCGAACATTCCAAAAAATTCGTGAAAACATCCCGAAACATCAGAACAGTCTGAAACAGCATTGAATTTCATTNGATTCACAGATGAAAATTTGATTTTGGTTTGATTTCAAACATTCCAAAACTTTGGCCTGAATGTAACAAATCATCTTGAAACACCTTCGAACATTCCAAAAAATTCGTGAAAACATCCCGAAACATCAGAACAGTCTGAAACAGCATTGAATTTCATTTCGGTTTCTTCAACATGAAAACGTTTTGGCCGACCGTTTCAAATCAGTATTTTGATCCTAGATTGCATATTATTCGCTCATATACTAGTCAAAACCAGGGCAACATTGAGTAATTTATTCCAAAATGTGGGTCTATCTACATTGTTTTACAGAACGAGTTCATGAGATCGCTAGAATAAACAAGTACAGACACGTATCAAAACTCACAACAGCAGTAAAATTAAACAAGAAATTGAAAACCCGGATAAGAAACATAAAACCAATAATTCAAATGAAGTGGGTGGTTGAGATCCGAGGAGTACCGTCGAATGACAGAGAATTCACAGGTGGGTTGATGATGGTGATGAGCGCCACCCCATCAGCTCCAACCTCCAAGGTTGTTCTTCCCTTCGTATTGCTATTCATTCTCTCTCTCTCTCACACTGGACAAATTAAGTTTCCTATCTCAATCTCAGCTGAGTAATAGGGTAATGCAAGGAAGATGGAAATGGAGACGCGAGTTTGTTCGTTCGTTCGCTTGCTGGCGTTGTTGGGTGTCGTGCCCGACTGCACACAGTGACGTTGGCTGTTTGGAGGGTAACCAAATATAAATTGGAGGATAAATTGGTCACTTCACCCGTGTGCTGTAACTTTTGTGAAATGACGATCCAATCAAAATAAAGTCTGGGATATTTATTCATTACGTGCTCTAGTGCTAATTGGCTGTTATTCTACATCAAGCACATACAGAAGAGTTTGTGAAAATCCATTCCAAGGAAAAGGATCAGATAGATGCTAGAATTAAACCGTGGGTGAGGACACCGATGTTCACATTTTACGATGCTATCCAGTCCTCAATTATGAACACGGTTATCAAGAGATATTTGAAGTGGTGACCGAGGTTTAAAGTTTTTAATTTGAATTTTAATAATATAAAATTATTAATTAAATCGATAATAATTTAAATTTTTTTGTTTAATATTTAAGTTTAAGTTTTTACAAGTATGACAGTTTGAAGGGTTAAACCACCCTTTAACGTTTAGGACACGTGATTCAATTTTATGAATCGTTTGATAACGTTTTTATTTTTGCGTTTTTAAAATAATTAAAAATAAAGACAATTTTTGTCTCTATTTTATGATAAACATTAAAACAGAAAACATATTTACGTGTCATTTTTGTCCATAAAAAACAAAAAACATGTTTTGTAACTATTTTATGTTTTATCCTCAATATATTTTATAAATATCATTTTAAAAAAATATATAGAAATTTTATTGAATGAATTCATAAATTACAAAATCAAACTAAAACAGAAAAATATTAGAAAACAAATTTTATGTTTCATAACAGAATTCTGTTATACTATAGCCGACAGTCTTATTACAAAGAATAGACAATATTGCTATTATGGCCTCCTCCAATCCTCCTTCATCAATTTGTCCAGAAATCAGCTCAAGTAGCAGTAGCACAATAACACCACCCAGACAACATCACAGTCTAACAGATCTCAAGTAACAACAGATCAATAATAAAGTAGTTCCTATTAACAACCTTCTTCTAGATGCAAGAGTTGGTTTTAATTCTTCAAAAGGATTTAAACCAAACATCTATCTTCCACGGACCAACTATCCAGCCTTCAGAAACATATCAAAATCAACGTTGTGCTTCTTAATCACAGAACACAATCTGATAATAGAACTCTCAGTCTGCAGATTCAAACCTACTGGCCACAAGATACAACCTTCCTCCTCCTTGCAATAGGTATCTTGGATTGATCTTGATGCAAAATCAACCTTCCTTCCAGTGGCAGAATACCACTACCAGAAAAGTCAGTGAAGCAACCAGTACTAATAGCAAATGAGGCCAATAAATCAGCTACAACATTAGCTTCCCTATATATATGTTTCAATTGAAATTGTAAACCCTCAAGCAATCTTCATATCTCTTCCAATACACTTTATAATATATCATGCAACAAAATAAAAATTCAAAAATTCCTTAAACCAAAACATCCACTAATTCATCAAAGAACACCTAAATAAAGATAATTAGATTACATAATTCACTACCCACATTCAAACACTGTATTGTTCAACATACAACAAAATACACACATTAATAAGTCCTATCACTTAACTAAAATTTCAATAATTAATACAAACACCACGAACAATAATGCACAAATAAAGATCAAATTACAACCACAACAAGCAAGCATGAAAATAGTGATTCATTTCTTCCTTCTCCATCTTGACTGGGCTTGAGGAATCACATGTTGTTCATTTGTAATTGTGTTGTACTCATCAACCCATATGAAACAATTATCATGTTCACGCCATCGTGGACAACGATAAAAAACTCGATCATTGTTTCGTTTGGTTCTTGTGACCAAAATATTCATGTTCCCGGATCTACACGAGCATGGAGAGCCAACACGTGTTATTGTAACACACCTAATTACATTAATATTAGCAAGTAAAATTAGTCATACAAACANGTATTTTTAAAATAATTAAAAATAAAGACAGTTTTTGTCTCTATTTTATGATAAACATTAAAACAGAAAACATATTTACGTGTCATTTTTGTCCATAAAAAATAAAAAACATGTTTTGTAACTATTTTATGTTTTATCCTCAATATATTTTATAAATATCATTTTAAAAAAATATATAGAAATTTTATTGAATGAATTCATAAATTACAAAATCAAACTAAAACAGAAAAATATTAGAAAACAAATTTTATGTTTCATAACAGAATTCTGTTATACTATAGCCGACAGTCTTATTACAAAGAATAGACAATATTGCTATTATGGCCTCCTCCAATCCTCCTTCATCAATTTGTCCAGAAATCAGCTCAAGTAGCAGTAGCACAATAACACCACCCAGACAACATCACAGTCTAACAGATCTCAAGTAACAACAGATCAATAATAAAGTAGTTCCTATTAACAACCTTCTTCTAGATGCAAGAGTTGGTTTTAATTCTTCAAAAGGATTTAAACCAAACATCTATCTTCCACGGACCAACTATCCAGCCTTCAGAAACATATCAAAATCAACGTTGTGCTTCTTAATCACAGAACACAATCTGATAATAGAACTCTCAGTCTGCAGATTCAAACCTACTGGCCACAAGATACAACCTTCCTCCTCCTTGCAATAGGTATCTTGGATTGATCTTGATGCAAAATCAACCTTCCTTCCAGTGGCAGAATACCACTACCAGAAAAGTCAGTGAAGCAACCAGTACTAATAGCAAATGAGGCCAATAAATCAGCTACAACATTAGCTTCCCTATATATATGTTTCAATTGAAATTGTAAACCCTCAAGCAATCTTCATATCTCTTCCAATACACTTTATAATATATCATGCAACAAAATAAAAATTCAAAAATTCCTTAAACCAAAACATCCACTAATTCATCAAAGAACACCTAAATAAAGATAATTAGATTACATAATTCACTACCCACATTCAAACACTGTATTGTTCAACATACAACAAAATACACACATTAATAAGTCCTATCACTTAACTAAAATTTCAATAATTAATACAAACACCACGAACAATAATGCACAAATAAAGATCAAATTACAACCACAACAAGCAAGCATGAAAATAGTGATTCATTTCTTCCTTCTCCATCTTGACTGGGCTTGAGGAATCACATGTTGTTCATTTGTAATTGTGTTGTACTCATCAACCCATATGAAACAATTATCATGTTCACGCCATCGTGGACAACGATAAAAAACTCGATCATTGTTTCGTTTGGTTCTTGTGACCAAAATATTCATGTTCCCGGATCTACACGAGCATGGAGAGCCAACACGTGTTATTGTAACACACCTAATTACATTAATATTAGCAAGTAAAATTAGTCATACAAACATTAAATTCAAAATAACAATACAAGTACCAATACATTTTTACCATCATAATAAATAATAATATTATGATATATATCAATGGCGAGTTAATGCCCACAATTGATCTGCAATTGTATTTATGACATGAGCCATTTGATGTAGTTTACTCGAACTTATATCTAATTCTATTGGGCCCTGTGAACCTGATCTTGCAATAGTTCTTTCATTATCAATAAATTCTCTTTTTTCCTATTCGTCAAATAATTGATCTTGACGAGAATGCATTCGTATGAAGTTATGCGTTATACAACATGTTCTGGGAATGTATTTTTGTGTAGTTAAGGGATATGGAGGCATTAACTTCAGAATGGAAAAACGAGTATTTAGAATTCCAAATCAATGCTCTATCACATTCCGAAGTGACGAATGACGATGATTGAATAGTTATTCTTTACCGGTTAGTTGTTGACCTCTACCTCTATAGTCACGCAGGTGAATTCTCTTACCACGATACGGGGACAGAAAATCCGGTATGTTTGTGTAGCCTGAATCCACAACATAGTATTTATCTGTCAAAATTTATAAGTGTAAGATTCATTGTCTAGTTTTATGTATGAGTATTACAAATTCTGTAATTACACTTACCATCTAGCGGCATTGGAAACTTGTTGGCTAAATTAGCAACACACTCAACAAATATTCTTGAGTCATGAGCAGTACTATCCCATCCACTTATTACAAATACAAAGCGCATGTCAAATGAACATACACACATTATATTTTTGTGTTGGTACAACACATTTTCCACAGTATGGTATATGAGAATCCGCTGGAATACGTGCATCAACATAGGTGCCATCAGTGGCGCCAACATAATTCTTCAAAGAAAAAAAAAACACATGAATGACATTTACAGTAGTATTTTCCTGTCACATATACTACAAATTACTGTCACTTACCTTAAACAAAGTGAAATGTCTTGGGTTGAAACGAATCTGAGGTTGAACCATACTAAAATCGGGAGGATGATGATATTAACTCCAAGCCTNAACTCGATCATTGTTTCGTTTGGTTCTTGTGACCAAAATATTCATGTTCCCGGATCTACACGAGCATGGAGAGCCAACACGTGTTATTGTAACACACCTAATTACATTAATATTAGCAAGTAAAATTAGTCATACAAACATTAAATTCAAAATAACAATACAAGTACCAATACATTTTTACCATCATAATAAATAATAATATTATGATATATATCAATGGCGAGTTAATGCCCACAATTGATCTGCAATTGTATTTATGACATGAGCCATTTGATGTAGTTTACTCGAACTTATATCTAATTCTATTGGGCCCTGTGAACTTGATCTTGCAATAGTTCTTTCATTATCAATAAATTCTCTTTTTTCCTATTCGTCAAATAATTGATCTTGACGAGAATGCATTCGTATGAAGTTATGCGTTATACAACATGTTCTGGGAATGTATTTTTGTGTAGTTAAGGGATATGGAGGCATTAACTTCAGAATGGAAA